TAAACTTCTTAAACCACTCGAAAACTTGCGTGCGAGATAGACACTGATCACCATATACTTCTGTCAACAAATTGTAAGTTTCAGTGGCAGATTTTCCAAGTTTTGTGAGGAATTTGATGTTAGCACGTTGTTCTGCATTAGCACTCAGCATTATTCCGACGGAGCTCAGAAACACGATCCGCTTCTAACAATGGTCGCGGCCAGACTAACCGATGCACGTGAATGAAACTTTGTGTGACGGTAGAGGGAAGTCCAAGGGTCAATGCCCTACCCTCCTCTTCGTCAATGACGTGGCCGGAAATGAGTCATAAAAGTAATCCAGGTTCTTTATTGCCACACCTTGTATTCCACTGAATTTTTTTCTTCATATTTTAATTTAATATCTCACGAGAAGGAATTTGATTAAGTTGTTTAAAACTTCAGCGTGCAACATTATATTTTGAAAGTCAGAATTGCATCAAAAAGTATTAAATAATGTTACTGCTTATTGAGGCACTATGCTACAAGCCGGAAGTTCGCGGGCGCAAGTCCCGAGGGGGTCATTTGATTTTTTTTCAATTGACCTAATCCTTCCAGCCGCACTATGGCCCTGGGGTCGACTCAGCCTCTAACAGAAATGTGTACCAGGAATTAAACAATTTTCCTGGGTAGTAAAGCGCGGCCGGCGCGTAAGGCTAACAACCTTACCGCCATCTTTGAGCCGATTGTCTAGATAATGTGGGACCCTCAACGTCTCACAACCCTATGGGCCTTCACGGCCTGTTACAGGGATAGCTTTACTTTACTTTTTTACTTTACTTACTGCTTACTTTCCCTACTGGCAAGATCTTTGAAAAGCTCAACCGTTTAGCTAGAGTGAAATTTTCATAAGGGCCATACTGTGCTAATTTATATCTGTTGTATATGACACAGAATTTGTGTCCTCTTTTACGTCAGTTGTCTGACATGTGGTTCCTCGGGGCCATGTGCAGTTTAATGCATACAGCGATCTATGCTGTATTTACATAATGCGACGGTACACGGCTGACCGCCCCTGTGGTCTAGTCGTCAGAGTTCCTGGCTACAGAACCAGAGGTCCGGGTTCAATTTCCGGTGCTACTAGATTTTTTCTGAGTAGTGTATCTGGAACGGGGTCCACTCAGCCTCGTGATGATAATTGTGGAGGTATTTGAAGGAAATAGCGACTTTGGTCTAGAAAACCGAAATTAACGGCCGTGGGGTATCGTTTGGCTGACCACGCGACACACTATCCGCAAAGTTGGCACTAACTTCGCCGACAAGCGGAGGTCGCTCGGTCGGTATAGTTCGCTTGTGGACTACAGGCCACGGAGTTTGTTTTTTGTTTCGCGGTACGGGGGTAAATAATAGATGCAGTGTGTTATGTCAGAGCTTTTAGTTTCTGGAATAACTGAATGATAAGTAAGAATAAACACCTTCGTTTTTTTTTATTTTGCGATGCTGGCGGTGTCTGGACTATAGAGCTTTGAATCAGGGACGAATTGTAAACAATTTGGAAGGAAGTGGTCGTGGCTTAACAAATACTGTTTAGGAATTTGGCTGAAGGGACTGAGCAAAACTAGAACAAACCTCAGTCAGGATAGCAAGTGTCATGGCCGACATTCGAACCGAAAACCTCCCGAATACAAATTCAGACCTTCGCTGCACCAGATTCCACGGTATGTCATAAGAAATTATTTTTTTTCCCATACAGTTGATTATAAGAAGTTCCCGAGCGAAGAGCGGGAAATTTAGCTAATATATTTGGATAACACCTATTTGTTATATTTACTTTTTAAACCAGCTATGTGTATGCACTTAATACTGAAGAAATTACGCCACAAATTTTAGGAACGAGAGCTCTGTTCCTGCGGATGGGCACTTGGCTTGGTTACCTTCCTTTGAGAACGTTTATTATATTTGAGTATTCCATTCGGTTTTCTTAGAAATAACGTGCAGGGAAACTTAGCCTAATGAACCATACAGTAAGACAATTTTTATTTTATTTCTGCTTGTGTATGTACATCTCGAAAGATAATTCTTGAAACAGAAGTATTTAGGTTGATTCTAGCAAAAGGGCGAGCCTGCCCGCAATACAAATTGTGCCTAACTTGGTACCATAATATGCATACATGATATATGTGAAGAAATAAGATACAGAAATCTCGTCTTTAATAAGATGTTTAGAGTTTTACTTACAGTGATATTGTCGTGAGCTTCTTTCCCAGTGGCATGGGCTGTATCAAGTATTCTGACATTGACTACTTCATTGGATGGTCCAAGTCTAGTGGACTTGGTTACCTGGTACTTAGCGATGCCTGCACATTCTGCAATAAAGATAATTTTCACCTTAACCAACTTTTAATGACTGGCGTTCAGAAGATGTTTTGAATACATCACAATAAAGCCATTATTTTCAATTTCTTGAGAAAATTGTTCTCAAGGGCATATATCACTTAAACATTTGATTTTGAAGATGTTGAGGATGGTAGAATCGCTTTTGGAGACAGAGAAATTATATACTAGAAAATCACTCCGACCCACTTCTTCAACCACTACTACAACCTCACCAAAATCGAAGACTCAATAGAATTAGGCAACCATATCTAAGGCACTGAGGAAAACACCACTGGATGTTTATTCCGCTCACGCCACAAAGAGTACAATAAATAGTTATTATATTGTACACCAATCAGCACAATGACTTATAGACTGTACAGTCTGATTGTCAATAAAGGAAAGAAAAGAAAAAGAACTTACATAGAACTTATGATAATATCGAAGAGGTTACAGGAGACAAAGTTCAAGTGTTGGAGACTTTATTCGAGAAATTTGTGAACCGTTATTTTAACAATGAAGGCAGTGTACCTTGATAAGAAATAAATATAACAAGTACATCGTAATTAAATACCTGACTAGAATTACATAAATATGTTATAACTCCATATAAGAAATACTTTGTATGGGTTACTAATATGTAAATAATTAATTACTATTTTTGGAAAGAAAGTTGAAGTAAGCAATTTTTTATTTTAAACTTAATAATGCTTTAGAGGAATATAGTAAAATATCGCGTAATAATCAAAATATACTTATTTATCCTCTCGACAGCCTCTTGTACATTTATTATAAATTATATATACTAAATTAGTACTTGTAGCTACACGTTTGGACTATAAATATCTTCAGGTTATAATATAGTATTGTATGGAGACTGCTTATTAGTGAAGTAGTTTATATTTGTCAGTTTATTGGCACATTTCGCTTACCTTTAAATTTAAAATACAGTATTATGTGTAAAATTACAAAATTATAGAACACATAATCATCACAATTCACCGCTAAGCACCCGGTTCATATGTCAAAGTATTAGCTCTGATGTCTTTTTCTTCATGTCTCGCACTTCGTACATTGTCTCGTGTGCCAACTGACATTATCACTCTCCTCGTATCCAATATTAGAGAAGTTTCTTGATAATGAACGACGCGCAGCAAATAGAATTAGCACAAATTTGCTTCATAAACCGATAGGGCTTTTTCACTTGCTCCTGAACGAATGATTCGGGATATCACACGTGAGACTCTTACCGGAACAGCGCTATATTGTATGAGGCTTTTGATAATTCCCCTCAGATCCTCAAAGAGAATACCGGGATAATACCTTAAAATAGGTCACGACCGATTCCTTCCACATCCTTCACAATTCGTTAATAACGCCACCATTCGACACTCTTTAGTTTTAGCTAGTGATATTGATGTTAAATAAACCATAGATAAATAATAAAAATATATCTTAAGATTTAATTATTTTCTGTAGCAGTCTTTCGAATAGTTGTTATTTTGACACCCGTATCCCTATGTGATGAGTCTTAAATTTATTTATTACAACTTTGTGTGCTTTTTACGTTAAATTCAATCAGTATATTCTCTTGATTTGTTTTACTAAGACAGGAAAGACTTTCATATATCACTAAACAATCGACTAGAATCTCTTCTGAATAGTGATGTAAATAAGACGTTTTTAAATTTCATCTACCGTCGCAATAAAAACAGAGGAAGAAGTGCATGTCCACACATTCCGTAAAATGTGAGAGCCACAGGCCTATTCAGGCAAGACTTTACAACTTCGCAAACCGCAATTTTGTAGTCACAACCTCCAGCTAAAATGTGGCAGCCATGCGTGCGCAGGCACGTCACAGCAAAAGACGGAGAGTGTGAACAGCCCTTGACGGATGACTCCACGACTCATGCTACAAAGAGATGGACGTGACCGAAAAAGAATCTGCGGGCTAATATTTGAAGAAATTTAAGTTTAACTTACGGCATCCTCCGCTTATGCAGGTCTCATCAGCAACAATGACGTTGTAAGATGAAGTGTCAAAAACGACTTCGAAACTTTGCGTGCCAAGCCTTATATTTCCGACGTATTCAGTCTGTGTGAAAATTGGTTCATGTATTAATTACAACTAATTACAATACAATAGCATAAATTGTTATATAAATAAAATATATTAGATTTTAATTTAATTTAACAAAATGTTTATACATTTCAAAATAAGGTGTCCTTGTACTAACATGGAGTTAGAAAGGGACAAAATTAAGCTTTTACAGATAGTCACGTATATAAAATTGAATGTAAAAGAACGCCCTTGAAATATGTTCTGAGTTAATCTAGTTGGCATTCCTAGTTCCTCTTGAAGCTAAATTTTTACATATTCTTCCCATCATTTTATAAGACACCAATATCTGATAGTTCTGAACTTACATTTATGTATTCTTCTACGAGCCGCCTCTTAGACCTCAATGGGATCCTGCAATAATATCATTAGGTTTATACCTGTATTCCTTTAGGTTCAGACATTAAAAGAACAAGTAATATGGTTAGAAATTAGCAGGTTAATGAGTACTATAGCATGTATATATACAGGGTGATTCAGAAAGATGGACACAATTTCAATTGGCTATATTTCCTGAATTATATGTTGCATTTGAATTCTGTAAATTACACTTGATTATACATACATGGAAGTTTATAGATGTTCAATGTCCCCACCCCCTCCTCAGGCTGCACGGATAACATCTAGACGGTAGCTGAATTCATCCTACACTCGATGACAAATATCTTGCGTCACTGAGTTCACCGCAGCTGTGATACAGTTTCTTAGGTCATTCAAATTTGTGGGAAGAGGTGGTACACGCCACACAGTTGTTTGCGATAGTCCAAGTTCTCTACTAGCACTACGGGTTGACTTCATTGGGCTGCGCTCAAAGTTCACTCGAATGCACTCCACGTTCTCCTCCGATACACGCGATCGGCCTGGGACGCAGTGATGGAGGGGACTAGTGGTAGTACTAGAAACTTTGTAACATCCTATTTCAAATGTACTTTACAGAATTCACATGCAACATACAGTTCAGGAAATATAGTCAATTGAAATTGTGTCCATCTTTCTGAATCACTCTGTATATATATAACTCAGTGTGGTACAGTCATTCTTCAAGGGATATAGGTGGTTGATTAAGAAATTTGTCACATTTCACGCGACCAGGAAGTAAGTTACCGTGTTCATGAAAACCCGCCTCCGAAGCTTATCACAAGCCAATTCAATCCATCACACACCCTCATATCCTATTTATTTCAGAGATATTTTAATATTATTCTGTCATCCATATGTCCACCTCCCAAGTGATCTCCGACTTTCAGACGCTTTGATTAAAATTGTGATCAAAATTTTTTCGCCTTCGTTCATGCTCTTAATTTAATCGCCCCAATGATAAGCTTGCTTGGTGAAAAGTACAGCGCAATAAATTACTCAATATACAGTTTTGTTCACCCTTTTGTTGTTACCTCCACTCTCACTTCTAAGCGTTCTCCAGNCACACACACACACACACACACACACACACACACACACACACACACACACACACACACACACACACACACACACACACACAAACACAAACAGAAACAATTAAATTTGTTTACATTTATGTTATTCTCTGGATTTGAAACAGAATAATAAAAGATTCTGCTGTCGGTTTTTCGTTAAGTAGGTCATGTCAAAGGTCCTATGTCTGAGCGTGACAAAATATTCTATACACTTTTAATCAAAGTATCATAAATTATGATAAACTAATTTTTGTTAAATCGGTTGAATAGTGGAAGTTATTTCTCCGAGCATATACTCGTATTTCAGTTGAAACAAGTATTAAAGGAACTCTTCGTTGGTGTGTCCATTTTAAATTTCCAAATGAATAATTGTTACAGGTTCTATTACAACTATTGNATATGTTTGGAGACTTAAATTTTGATAATTTTATATCAAATGAAAATGCTACAAAACGTTGTACATTAAAATATAAAACTCTTTAATGAACCGTCACAACACAACAAATAGTAAAACATCAAAGTCAGTGTTCAGCTGTGGCTTTGCTACATGTTTCGTCCACTATCGCCCATCATCAGGCAAATACATATCAACAAAAATCTACCATTTAACTGCAATCATAAAATGGATATAACACTATTAATCGTACAAATTTAAAAATGCTTATGTAAAAAATACAGAAGTTCAGATTATATAAAAATTAAAAATTGGAAGTATTATAGCAAGATATAATTTTAATGATGTGTTCAAAAACATTGAATCAGTCGTTGGATATACTTTGTGTGCGTTTCCATAGACAATAGGGAAATTCGATATTACTTGTCGTTGTTTGCTTTCCATGCAATACGGACAATTCTTCTTAATGACGTGGCAGCATTACACAATTCATTAATTGCTACACCATGGGCCTCTCTTAAAATCTTCTATATAAAGTAATATCGAATTTCCCTATTGTCGATGGAAACGCACACAAAGTATATCCAACGACTGATTCAATGTTTTTTAACACATCATTAATATTATATCTTGCTATAATACTTCCAATTTTTAATTTTTATATAATCTGAACTTTTGTATTTTTTACATAAGAATTTTTAAATTTGTACGATTAATAGTGTTATATCCATTTTATGATTGCAGTTAAATGGTAGATTTTTATTGGTATGTATTTGCCTGATGATGGCCGATAGTGGCGAAACATGTAGCAAAGCCACAGCTGAACACTGACTTTGATGTTTTACTATTTGTTGTGTTGTGACGGTTCATTAAAGAGTTTTATATTTTAATGTACAACGTTTTGTAGCATTTTCATTTGATATAAAATTATCAAAATTTAAGTCTCCAAACATATTTCACCATACCAAAAGTTTAATCTACATTGAACATCGATAATTTTGTTCCACCTCATTAATTTGTTAGCATGTAGTATTGGAAATTTGATGAAAAGATTCTGAAAAGAAATGAATTCAGTCATCTTTCAGGGCTATTGTGCTTGTAATGATTTCCACAAAAATCCGAACAGAGTTTACCCTAGTGGAATGTGTGTATTGTTTGAAGATCTTATGTTCATAGCTGATTCATGAATAGGCAGGAGAACATATTCACACAGGAATTAACAAAGTTCTAAACGTGAGACTCAGCTACTTTCGAAAAACTTACGTGACATTGGCGGAGACTACACAGAATAAGACCACGACAATGGCCGAACACAAAGTGAATTTCATGATGGCGGGCTTGCGATTGAACCAGGACGTCAGCGAAGAAGAAATGGGGCTTAGCCTGAGTTTAAATACTCAACTTATCGCTCCACCTTAAAAAAATATTTCGGGATTTTTTACACAACGGGAAATCCTGTAGTTTAAGGTGAACAGGTAATTTATATTACGGTCATTGTTTGCGTCATGGAAATCCCAAACATGGGGCATTCGTATGTGACATTGATGTTGATAACATATTTTAATATATTAAAATACAGAAACGTGACATTTTGGAGGAAACAAAATATAACTACGTTTTTTCCCATAAAAAGCTTATTGCTATATTGCAAATGCATCGTTGGGCATTGAATAATAAGATGCATTTAGCATTACGACGCCTGGATGCTTGCCAGATAGGCTGCATGCAATGTTTCTCATTAATTGTATTCAAGAAATTCTTCACGACTGACATATTTCCAATTTAAAACTGCCAGAATATGAGACCGTGAGGCGTAAATTAAAATAATTTTCACTGCATGTGAAGGCACTATCACGAGCTTGGACAATTCTTTCAGTGGTCCAAAATTTAACGCATTTTCTTATCGTTTCTCCACTGAGTCATTCATCCTACTGTATGAATAATTGGCTGAGTTATTAATTAAAGAGTCATAAATGAATGGACGAATAAGAGGTGGTGCATCAGCGATTTTCCAGTGGTCAAAACAGACTCCTACAGAAGCGTTCGCAGCGGCCATGGAATCATGGCGTCGACGTTGTGAAAAAATGTGTACGGCTGCAGGGAGATTACGTTGAAAAGTGACAGAAGTTTCAAATTTTTTGTATGATTATTGTGTGAGAAAGAAAAATCGGAGACCTTAGAACTTGAACGCACAACGTATTATGTTTTTGGACATAGGAGATAGGGGTCAGCTCTATCTATTGGACCCAACTGAGTAGCTTTTACTTGAGGACGGGGACAGAATCCAGTCTCCGAAACGTGTTTTAAAAAAAGAAAGTGGACGGGTTTTAAAAAATAGACAAGACGATGGATAATGTCCAAAAACACAATACTTGTAACAATATACCATCGTCACAGGCTTTTAGATCTTGTTTGAATAAGAAATGGGCCTACCGTTCAATGAACCGCGACCACTTAGCGATCTATTATGCATCCCCTTCTGTTCAGCCACCCAACAATCCCACATGTCAAATGAAGTGCCTTAGAAGGGAGTCTACATAGTCGATCACCTGGTTCCTTAAGGTAATGTCTCCGGTGAAGATGTCCTGAGTTCCCCACAGCCTAACGGGTACATAAGATTGTGAGGCTGTTAATTTATGTTCAGACACTACGCAAATAGTCATAAAATAATTAATTTTCAGGTTCCAGAAAGGATGTGAAATATATTCGACAGATGATCGACTACCAGCTTCTGAAGGGCTTTGCTACAAGAATTGAATAGGTCATAAATCTGTTTCGTAATTTTGTTAGTAGGGTTATGAAGACTGGCGGTACCAGAGTAGTAATTATGTTGAAGTGGTCTGTTATATTTTGTATCTCCTCTGTATCATCCTCGAAACGGAGGAAATTAGTGGCCGGTTCTGAACAAGGAATCGCGAAATCGGCGAATAGAAATCCCGAGTTTTAACTTCACGAAACTACATGGTTCCATGCTGTGCCGAACCCGGATACCCTTGCAATCTCTTCCTGGAGTGTACAACTGATATGGACGACCTGGTTTAACCATTATTGACAATGAAGACACGGTTTTCCTTCACGGCGTATATTTCTGTTTGCTACTTTATGATCAGACTTCCTTGTTTTGTCTTGGAAGCTCCATTGCGAAAACCATACGGCCCGAAGTGAACAGGCTTATCATTCCACTTATGCAATCAATAAATACTCATTACATCAATTAAGAAGCACAGAATTAATATTTTAACGGATTTGCTCAAAGCGTTTCTAGGCAACAACTCGGTAAACACGTTCCAACATGCAATAATGGAAGATGTGTTTCAGTGGACGAATGTTATAGCTCGATGCTGGGTAACAATCAGCGCGTCAATGATCTCGCTGGCTAGGAATCACGAGACTTGTGTTTTCTGTCTTGTCCGTGCGGAACCTGTATAACGAAAACCTGTTGTAGCTTAGATTAGTGCAGAATGCAGTGCAGTGTAGCTAAGAGTTCAGGAGAGTTTGTAGTTGATTTGTGAGGTACCAGGGCGATTGAACAAGATATGGCAAGAAGACTTCATAGTGATTTGAAGTGCTAGTTTTTGTGTTGAGGTCCGTTGCTAGGAGACGACTAGTGGAAACAGAATCCTAATGCATGTGCAACGGTAAACTGTAAATTGTGTAAACCAGTGATAGCGCATAATAAGTGTGGTTAAGAGAACTTGTAACCGAAGTGGCAATAATTCCAATCATCCGAACTAGAACCCGTTAACTTAGTCACATATACCCCCTACACTTGACAGTATCAAATAACGATGTTTTTGATTAGTCATATATGGAATTGAGGAGAAGAATGCATGTAGGATATTGGTGGGAAAGCCAGAAGGAAGGAGACCACCAGGAATACCAAGACGTAGGTGGGTGGTTAATATTGAAGTGGATCTTAGAGCGATAGGATGGGGTGATTTCGACTGGATTTATCTGGCTAAGAGGAAGGACCAGTGGAGGGCTCCTGTAAACAAGGTAATGAACTTTCGGGTTCCAAAAAATATTGGGAATTTCTTGAGTAGCTGCACAACTGGAGATTTCTCAAGAACGCCTCAGGTCCACAAAGTTGGTTAGTTAGTTCAAATTTGATTTAAATGTAAGTATAACGAGGAAGAGAGACAATATGTGTGTATGCTTCTGAGATGACTGTTGTTCCAGAGGAAAAAGAATTGGCTCTCAATCTTGACCATTTATCCTCCGTCTCAGACTTAACTTTATACGGAATATTTCAGCTGGGGAACCTCATCTTGAATAACTATGTACCAAATATTGCAGAACAGTTTTCATCCATTATTGACATTCAGGAGATCCCCTCTTCCAGTCTATGCAAGGAGCCCAAATATCCCGATAATTTTTATGGTTGTATGAGACCATAAAACAAATTACAGGATAGTACCTTATGAAAAGCCAAAAATCGCGTCCTTTTACAAGTTATCAGTTGATGATTAAAAAATCAACCAAATATCTGACGACGAAACATAACCTAGTCGTTTGAAACAGTGCAGTTAAAAAGCAAGTAAGACCTTCGTTAGCTCAAACAATGGGATCATGGGTTCGAATCCCACTCGAGACATGGAAATCTTTCTGCATTTTCCTGTGTTTGTGTTGTTCTGTGCAGATAGCGGACTTGCGACGAGGCTGATCGCCTGCCTAAGGAGTCTTACCGACTGTCTATATGATTCATAATTTAAGAATCGATTCTGAATGGGAGCAGGCCAGAGAGCATAATCTGTCAAAGTAGAAGAAGAAGAAGAAGAAGAATTAATCATCCGTCACTTGCTCGGAATTATTTAATTGGGAGATCGGTGATGGGTGCAACACACCTGATAAGCAAACCGGAACTAGACCAACACACGACCTAGTATTGGAAGGAGAATGCAGGGCGTGTGTTGGTCTAGTTTCAGTTTGCTTATCAGGTGTGTATTCGGCCATGGTTTTAAGTATTCATTTTCTAAAAAAAACAAACTATTTATCCATGAAGAGCGTATAAATAAACTGAATAAATAACCTGTTTTCAACCCGGTCTTCTTAAAGAAAACTGCGCTGAAATGATAGAACTGTTTATTTCGTACTTACGAGTAATATATATATATAATACATGCTTCTCTTATAATATATTCCACATAAATCTCCAATAAAAGAAAACGATGTTAGTGATAACAAGGTAATTAATCTCTTAATTGTCATATGGAATTTGATGTACTGCAAGAAACAGCTACTGAACTGTCCCGCATGGTGATGAGTCTTGTCAATACTGACTGGATACTTCACGGTTTTATAAATCTGATATGGTAGCCTGGCAACGGTACCAGCCGAAGCGGATCTTGTGATTATTAAGTCTCATATAATAATCAAATAAAACTATCGTGTAGTTTATATGACATAGATATAATAATAAAATATTTATACTGATTTTACTCTATGTAGGCAGTCTACAATGCAATAAAAACTGTATCTCTTATTATGTTTCTTTGAAGGTAGGAGTATTTTACCGTGCCCTCAGTTCACAGGTCACGTAACACTGGATGAGACCATAATAAATAAGAAGGGGTTTGGAAGGAAAAGGCCATGGCTTAATCGAGGTAATATTCTGACATTCACCTGAAGGACCTAGGAAAACCATGAAATATATCAGTCAGGATGCGTCTCGTTATACATCATGAGTTAAATAAAACGTTCTAATGCAAAATTCATAGAACAGGTTAAGATTAAAATATAATACATAGTGTAGTGTGTAGTACCGTTGCTATGCAACGGTCGCGAGAAGTAAAATGCTTTGCTTGGTAATGACAGGTAAACACATCATTGTTATCCGGTCTATCGCTAGGCAACCATCCATAAAAAAACTAGAAAATCCGTTGGAGGTGGAGTTTTCTGTTGGGTCCGCCTCAAGGCTATATAACGAGGGCCCCAGGCCAGCTGAGTGCAGTTGCAGGATATTCGCCGGACGGTAACGACGTGTGCTCAGAAGCCGGAGAATCTACATTGTTAAGATCAGTTACCAGGAAAGGACTAGTGAAAGCAAACTTGAGAAAACTTAGCTTGTGCTAGTGATTTGTAAAGTGTGGAGATCAGCAATAGCGCTGTAATTGTTTGTAGTTCCGAGTGGTGTGTACAGGTGTCCAACAAATTCATTCGAGAATCCAAACCCTGTCAATAGTCACAGCCCTGCACGTGGAAATTCGTAAATATGCTATGATATCTGCTGTAAAGTTTTCATAAATCTCCACTTACCCTTTTGAATGACAGTAGACTGATGCAAGCGGTACAATTTGAAAAATTACCTTACAGAAATAATTAATCATTTGAAACCCAAATATGAACACATTTACGCACAGTAATTAAGTCCCCAGTTACAACTCAGTTTAGCAGGATAGGAGACAAGATTCCACAGCAGAGATCGCCTGACTGTGATCTGCCATTGTAGCTTTGACCTAACCTCCTCTAATTGACGAAGCCAGAGATCTTCTGAATATGATATAGGGACTTCGTAGGGCATGATATAAATTGTACTGGAAACTGGTGATATCATTGGTTTGAGACTGATATATGAATTGAGATAATCTAATGCAGACGCTAGGTACATGAGAAAGTAGGTATAGTGTTAACTTATACCTGTATTCTATAGTGCTCGGTTCGAATTTCAGACAGTACATCAGCTGTCCTCTCTGGGGGTTTTCGTGGTTTTTCACAGTCCCTCCAGTCAAATACATGTAGATAGAGATTTTCGATACAGGCCATTCGATTCGATTTTCACTGACCATCCTACAATCCAAGGCTAGTCTGAGAACCTGAGAGCCCTGTGAAATGAACCACAAAGCCACTGATTTGAAAACAACTTGCTTAGAAGAATATCTGGACCTAGAATGTAGAAATTTATACATTTTCAGAGCAGTTTATGATAGCACGTAACAAGAAATTTCGTGATTAAAACCGTTGCGAATTTAATTCTTAAGACAGCGAAATATAAGGAACTTATATATGGATGGCCGGTCACGGTGGCCGAACTATCTAAGGTACGTACTGTCTTCGCTCCCTGGGAAGGCGGGATCGTGAGTTCGAATCCCACACAAGGCATAGATGTTTGGGGTGTGTATGCGTTTATTCTGTACTTGTGTTCTACTGTGTTTAGGTAGCGCCCTTGCGATGAGCTGATCACCTGTCCAAGGAGTCCTACCGCCTGTAAAATGATCATGAAACTAAGAAATCAGCCCTAAGCGGCCTCCGTAGTCTAGGGGTAACGTTCCCACCTCGTGACTCAAGGTACGCGGGTTCAAACCCGGCGGAGGTCGTGGAATTTTTAAGGGCGGAAAAATTCAGGGAACAAGTCCTCCGGGAGGGACTTTAAGCCGTGGGTCCCGTGTCGTAGCTTTACGGCACGTAAAAGAACCTCGTGTCTCCAAAGGAGGCCAGTGAGCAAAATTACGGACGTTTCCCGCCCAACAGTAGTCTCTAACACCTCCGGTAGATGGGGGAAGCATTAAAGATACCACTCAGCTAGTAGAGGCCGATCTCGCTGGCTGGGCGGGACTGATGGTAAGCACCAGTACCGGTAGGATATAGAGACTGGTAGAATATCATAGAGGGAAGCACAGTGGACCAAGACAGGTCTAGGTGCATGGGGAAACCCACCCTCTCCAATAACTAACTAACTAACTAAGAAATCGGCCCTATACTCAAAAGTGGGAGCAAGAGGAGAGAAAGAAATGTGTGGCTAGGATGGAGACGGCAAAGAATGTATGTAGTATTTGGGTAATGAAGTCTCTGGGGAAATATCCAATTGCAAGACTGAGAAAGACTTGGGAAGATAATATTAAGATGGATCTTACTGAGGTACATAAGTTAGGAGGATGGGTAGCGGTCAAGAGTAACTAAGGTTCATATTCACTTGTCCACAATGGAAGGTAGGTTGGTTACTCAAATTTTGAGTTGGAGCTCATTCTTATTAATTATTTAATTATCCGAAGATTTTCACCTAAAGAGGTAAGGCCAATATAGCATCGAATAATAAAATGTCCGTGATTTATGAATTATAAAGAATTTCACAGGATGGGATCGTGACCTTATATGAAATTACTGTCTGAGTCAGCTTGGTCGGTACTAGTATCAGATTTAATTGAAATACATTCAGTAAAGGTAAAAATAAAGATGTCCCAGTGCGTAACTTATTAAGCCCTACGCCATGAAGACGTATGGGGGGGAGCGGGCGTATAGATCCATATTTTCTTTACGTTGGAATTATTTAGAGTTGAGTGATCAGCTTCACGACCTTGACGTTTTACTCCCGGAGAACGACCCCCCGTATCCATTGGATATGAGGGTAGATGGGCCCAAGAGCAGGTCTGGATGACGTGGAGAGGGGAATTCTTGACTCGAACTCCGACCCCTCGTTCGTCCAGCCCTTAGCCAGTCGCTATACTGACTGCGCTATACCGGCTCACGAAATACGTTTAATAGTTTCGGAAATGGAAAATGCAAGATGAGTAGGTACGACCGTCTCATTCTGAGTTAATAGTGGATGTAGTGCAAAGAATGCGTAAGTGCCATCCTGCTTAAGACAGATGTTTAATGCGGTTATAGGAACTTAAGTAATAAACACGAGGTCTTGGGTCTTTTTAGGGTGGTTCTTTTGCTTTGGTATAGAACTTCCACTCTGGTCTTTTTGTGCATATGAAATTAACAAGCATCTCTGTTTGGGTTTCGCTGTTGGGGGAAGGAGATAGATGGCCAATATTCAGATTGATCTTAGAGGGTTAGTTTATGAGGGTATGAGGTGGCTGGAACTGCATCAGAGTCATGTAAAATGAAACGCTTTGATATTAGCTGCATTGAAACTTCGAATTCGGCTAGCACAGCATTAGTTTCTTATATTTCACATAAAATAAATGAATTAGAACACACTTTTAGATGTTTATTTCCACATTTTGACATACATGGACATTTTTAAAACATTAACTACAGTAACGGAAACTCCACAAATTCTATTGAACCCTACTCGGTTGTATAATCCTACAAATCTCTATTAGGTTTCATAATGTTATCAATAAAGTTATAACGTTAAAATTTAATTACTTAAATGAAGTCGTTTCTAAACGTCTTTTTTTCATCCTTCACTGTATGGCAAGTTGTTCTGGAGGGGGGATTCTTACGCCATCGCAGTGGAACTTCACTTTCACTTCGCTTACAACTTAAGGATTACACACTTAACAATGTCAGCTATATGATATGGGATAATATGAAACACACACGGCGCCCGAGGAACTGTTCTCCTTAAGGTCCTTCTCCATGGTGAAAATTTGAGTACTATGGTAGTAAGATAAACACGATGTTTGAACTGAACATTAGCCCATATATACAAACTATAGCTAAAAATCATGCAACGATATATAAATGTTATACAGATGTTCAACGTGTATAGAACTGATACTTGAAATTATAATATAAAATGCTTTTGATAATCATTTCATAAATTTTTGCTATGTAGGGCCATTATATTCCATATTTATATTTAAGCTTTCTTAATGTCTTTCTATTAGCTGTTTATTTATTTGTGGCAGGGTCCGCGCTATCAAATTTTTTTTTGTAGAATATTTCGATTTATAATAATTATTCTAGACTGAATTACAGTTTTTTTTTTTGAAATGTAATTTCAGATATACGTCTATATTTGTGTGTAATTTTCGTACCTGGAGCTTGAAAATTTTTCTGGTGGTAATGCTGTAATCTCATCTTAAGATATAACTAATTTGAGTATAATTGTGTATATATGTTTATATATATCTATAATCGTATGAATTGAACATGGATCTATGCCTACTATTTTGTACTGCATTTGCTCATGGGTATCTACTATAGAGCATTATAATTTTTCAAAATAAAGCAACTAGGAAATAACTATGAGTATTCGTTATGAAGATATATATATATATGTTATAGCCCTACACCGGCTGTTTGTTAGTAAATCAAGTAAGACTAACAAAATCTATCTGCTACATTATAAATCATTGAGATAAATACTTTTATTTGATTCTTAAATGCATGATTATATATATGTGGGATTGATGGAAAGTTATAAATCTCATAAAGTCGCTTATCTCTTGAGCCTAATTTACTTTCTTGCATAAAGTAACTGTAAACACAAATGAAGCAATCTGCAAGAAAAGTAGAACGAGTAATGCATGCAAGTTAATGAATAATATCTCGAAAATAGAATAATGATATCACTGTAATTACCTATCAATGAATGCATAAATATGTTAATGAATAGTTTATTATACTTCCAGAATAATTCATTAAGCTATAGTGTTTTTCATATTAATTTCTTGGCATTTCCACCATATATAAGTTTCAGACCTTACAAGTGTTTACGTTGATATAGCGGTCGATGCTAAAGTATCCATTTTGCCCGTCATGTCGCTGAATGACCATGCATTAGCCGACTGAGATGCTGGGATTGGTTTCTTGTCACATCTGTGTCTCAGAGCTACCTGCAGGTATAGGTTGACTAATGCAGTCAGCTGTTTCAGAAGCTTTGACACCGACTGCCAGTCCGCTCTCGGCAGCATCAACGATGCGTTCTGCGTCCATACGGTCGAGTTCGTCTTTCGACAAGTGGTACACTATTCCGGCCCCATAAGCGTCGCCGAGTACGTTGATGGAAGTCCGGAGGCGATCCCTAAGGAAAATATCAACGACTCCTTTGAAAAATTGGCTACGTTGAAATATTGACACATAAAAATATAGGAAAATAATAAGCTGTCCCTCTGCGCAAGCACAATTCCATGAAGGCGAATGGGTGGATGGAGGTAAAGCTCTATGCATATTCACGCTGCTGTCGCTTTATCCCATTGCCCAAGGGACAGGGGCATGGACGCGACAGCGAAGAGAAAATAAATTCTTCCGGCAGTCGAACCCATACGAACTCCATAACCAATTGCCTTCCTGACTGAGCAGACGTTCAATGCGTATCGCAGACGGATAGAGAATTTTAACATTCAGTAGGATGTGGTGGGCTGGGCAGTCTGCTGGAGGCAAGGAATGTTTGCGGAGCTTGGCTAAGTAAGCAGGAAGACTGCAAAATTGATGCAGTATGTTGTGAGGGTGAGAGGTGTTGTTGTTCCGGCAGGGAGAAAAGACAGTAAGTCATATGAAAACGACGGTGACATGACAGTTTTAGTATCGTGCGGGCAGTACTTACAGAAGCCAGTCGACAGCGAACAGCAGGGATATATCCGAGGTTGGCAGACCTAGCGCTGAGAGCACGAGTAACATTGTGATAAGAGCGGCACTGGGGATAGACGCTGCCCCCACACTCGCCAGCGTTGCCGTCAAGCTGAAGAAATAACACCGCATCATTATAGCATGGCCTATCGATCTGAGTGCTTAACGCCTGAACACTGGGATCAGGACAAGGATATGCATTGTTGTATCGTGATTGTGAAAGCGTTGCAGTGGTCTGAAAGTCCGTCGAAGTATTTCTGCCACTCTTTTAATTCAAATTGAAAAAGAAAAATTTTCAACAGTGGAGTATAAGAAGACCTCCATTTTGTAGTAGAGTACAGAAAGGAGAAAAGGAAAGGAGGAAGATAATGAAGCTGAAGGTGATAATAATGATAAAAAATAACACTACCTAGAATATAATTAGATAATTAATTATTTCATATTCTTATTCTTATCCTTCGCGGTTTCTCTTTGATGTGCCCACTATGTACATACCAAGTGCTTTCCATCTTCAACACTATTAAGACAGTCTTCCATATACGTCCGATCTGTCAGTATTTATATTCCTGAACCTCCAGTTTGACGCTGATTATGCCTGTTTCGCAGAACCCTTGCTAAATCTTATAGAGAAGCACACACGTAATCATTTCCTCAAGGACATAATTAAAAGAGTGCCTAAAGGAAGTTTGTCAGTAAATACGAGTACACAATCTTATGTTTAAGTGGAATTAGGTTTATATTGTTTACATTCCTGAACATTTGACAATTTTTATGAATGTGACAGAAACTTGAGCTAGTCGTAAAGAATGTCGCTGTGAAAATATTAAGTTCTTTTTCCGCTGTTTGCTTTTGTCTATCAAATTGTGACTCTACTGTTGATTAAATATGAAGAGAAACAAGTTTTGTGTTTAATCTGCTTTTAAAAATTCTTTGATGATATTACACACCGAATAAAACCATTCTTTTTGTCCATGGTTTCAGGCTAGCTTTACCTACGGACAGAAAGTAGTAGGCATTTGTTCACCTGATGAATTAAGTAGACCAAGATTTTGAAACGTAATGATTTAAAAAATAAGAGATGATATAGTAAAAAAGAACAGCTTGAATTTGTTTCGGTCTTCTTCAGTTTAATCTAATAAATTGGGGCGCAATTACTTTTGGGAAAGTGAATAGAAACACATTATATTTATAAAAATTCGTTTATTTCCTTGGATGTAGTTTTAATATCTACCGTAGTTTCGAAAACTTTAACTGAAGAAAGGAAATGTTAATTAATTTGTGGAAATTACGTGTGTGTATTATGTAGTTAGTTAGTTAGTTATTAGAGAGGGTGGGTTTCCCCATGCACTTAGACCAGTATTGGTCCATTGTGCTTCCCTCTATGATATTCTACCACTCTCTATACCCTACCGATATTGGTGCGTACCATCAGTCCCGACCGAGCCAGCGAGTTCGCCTCTACTGGCTTGGCGGTATCTATAATGCTTCCCCCATCTATCGGAGGCGTTAGAGACTACTGTTGGGCGGGAAATGTTCTGAATTTGGCTCAGTGACCTCCTTTGGAGATATGAGGTTCTTTTACGTGCCGTAAAGCTACGAAACGAGACCCACGGCTTAAAGTCCCTCCCGGAGGATTTGTTCCCTGAATTTTTCAGCCCTTAAAAATTTGTGTATTATGTAACTGGCCTATGTCTTATTCCATAACGTAGCAGAGGAAATGGATGCCGAATTCTCACATCGACGCCAGAGCATTTCATGTGGATTTTGTGATAAGCAAAGTGACACTTGAGCAGATATTTTCCAGATTACGTAGGTTCTCCCTTTCATATGCGTCGTAATTAACTATTATCACAATCATTGCCCTCAGCTGAAGTTTCTCTGGTCTCCAGTATGGAGGAGTCAGAATGTTCAATAGACATTACACTCATCACTTGTTTACCTGACCGTGATGACTTCTCCGATTCCGAGAGGAATTCCGTTCATCTGGGCTATGAATATGGCAGCGACAGCTTCGTAAAGTGCAGTGCCGTCCATGTTAACAGTGGCACCAACTGCGACTACGAACCGGGTCACACGAGCGTCTATCTTGTTGTTCTCCTCTAGGCAGCGGAACGTAATGGGCAAGGTGGCAGCACTGCAAGGACGGCATTCACTTTATTAACCTTAAAATTTCAAAGGTTTAAAATAAATTATATAAATAAAATATTAATTTGGTTAAAAATAAGCGTATAGCAGCAGCAATAAAAATAATAATAATATCCAAAATTAATTTAGCTCTTCATTCATCTACGTGCTCACTTAACAGTCCAAAGGCCAATCGTTGAATAAACAGAAGTAAAACAAAAATGCAGAATAAACACCTACAAAAATAGGGAAAAAGGATTTATATAATTTAAACGATGTTTCAGAGGAATTCAATTCTTTATTTATTTATGTACTTGAAGAGCCCAAAGGCTGCTGCTGATAAGAATATTAATAATAATTGCCAAAAGCTTTGAGATGAATACATTTTTATTTCTCTACTAGAATTTGCATAATTTTAGGCCGTCGACGTGAAGGCCTATAAGCCTATAGTATTACATATCCTGTTAGATAAGAGGTGGGCTAACTACGGTCGGCGAAAAATTTATTTCAATCGGCAGCCATTTTCAGATATATATTTTAAGAATAAAAGTAGAATTTTATATTAATTTTTAATTTTCTAAAGGCTCGTGTAACTAGATCTATGTACACGTATATTTACTAGATTTTAAACTCGAAAAGCAAAGAAACTAAATGAACATTTGGATGATGAAAAAAAAGTCAGGGTTTTCCTGTCCCTAGTACGGGTACGTTGCCTATGTCCAATTAGTGTATTTACAGCTGAGTGTGAGAAAATAGTGTGTGGCCCGCTGTTCATTCCATTTAATTCGTGTCTCAAAATCTTGAGAACGCCATTAAGATACCGTACTAAAATTAATTATTATTTTTTAAATGCTCGTGCACTTCGGCAAAACTATCCTGTTCAAGTAAAGTTAAGTTCGTATAGGCGTAAGTACTAGTACTGCTACTGACATCGAACAATTCTCTTTGAAATTAATCTATTGAAATATGGCCAGAAATCTTGGTTTATTTAACCACCTTTTGTCAACATTAGAGGTTATGTTGGGAAAGAAACAAAGACAAGATGAAGAGAATTACATTGTGAGGTGCTTCATAATCTACACTCATTGTAAAATATTATTTAGGTGATAAAAATAAGGGAAATGATACGAGTGGAAGATGTAACACAAATGTTATAGTGAAATACAGGTACAAAATTATAGTCAGAAAATCGAAAAGGGAAAGGCTTGCGAGACCTGGTCCTAAATAATAGGACAGAATTGGAAAAGGATCTTAAGGAAATGGAGTGTGAGGACATGGAACGGATGAAGTTGGCACAGGATAGAACCCGGTAACTGGTTCTTTTGAACACTTTAAAGAAAATTCAAGTTTCATAAGAGACGGGAATTTCTTGACAAGCTGAGATTTTTTCTTGTCAAGGCTTCTGTTCCATGCACTTAGTTGGACATTGAATAGTACGGCAATTGAGAACAGATGTAGATTTAAGCAAGAATCATTAGGTTACTATCGTAGCCTTTGCTACCATGGACTGAGGAAAACGACGTGCATTCTATTAATGCATTCCGTCAGCGGCCGACATTTGTAGCTAAGACTATTTTTTAAGAAGCAGAAATGTTAATCACTACACTATTACGTTTGGTCGCGACAAAGAAATTATTTACTGTGAGGTTTTTCGAAGTTTTCTAACTTCCTCGACGGTAACGCGTGTATTTCCTTGAAATATACCTTATTCTTCAAAGTCCATCTTGATGGCATTGATTCTTACTTGCTGAGAATTTCATTCTTAGGGGTTTCATCGATATCAGTTCTCCTGCAGAGCTGAGAAAAGTTTATGAAATTTAAATGTTTCATCCTAAAATTCGCCCAGCTCACTTCTAGCCCGCATGCGTGCTACATATTCTGCCTCTCTAATCGTTCTTCGCTTAATCATCCTATCAGCCAGAGCCAGCGAAAGTCTAAATATCGCCCCAGGAAACGATGAATTCCCCCCTCCCATCTGAAAATACTTAAACTTTCTCAGAATTTCATCAGCATTTCTTTCTCTTCCTGTTCGCCCCCACTTTGGAGCATAGGGCTGATTTCTCAGTTTCATTGATCATTTTTGCAGACAATAGGACTCCTTGGACGGGTGATCAGCTCGTCGCAAGGCCTCTACCTAAACACATGACAACACAAACAGAATAAACGCATACACATACCAAACATCCATGTCTTGTATGGGATTCAAACCCACGATCCCGGCTTCCGAGGGAGCGAAGACAGTACGTGTATTAGACCGCGCGGGTACCGTGACCGGCTCATCAGAATTAGTAGCTCGAAATTCTCAGACGCTGTGAGAAAAATCGCCATTTGCATCGTGATACTTAAAGGAGGAGTAACAGAAACTATAAAAATACGGTGTCATCCGGTAACAGCAATCCCATTGCTGCCATTGGCTTCAGGTTACATAAGTGGACAATAAATCAGCGTTTACAATTTACAGTTTATTTACATGATTGCATATCTTGTTTACGTGACTGCCAAATAATGGTCGCGAATGTAAAAATGAGCAGCAAGAAGAAGAACCAAAAAGTGGCCAAATATGGCGACCCCAGGAGTCAACTTGAAGTTCCTGTGCTATTGTGCCGGCCCTGCTAACAATATCACGTGACAAGCTTGGATATATACGTACTTTCCTCTACTTCTTTCGTGAGCGAGACGCTATTGATACATGCCACATGCGTGTCTGAAATGTGTGCCGTGTGTCACCTCGAGGCCGTGCCCAGAGCGGTGACCCAGGCTTGCAGCATTCCCTGGAAGAAGACGGCTGGGTTCTTGCGGGTGAACGCATAGTAGATGCCGGGCAGAGTGACGAGGGCGTGGACCAGCAGCCCTAAGATGACGGTGATCATGTACAAACCAAGCTGCTGCGCCGTAGCCGCCAGGTTCTCGATACTCATAATTTTCCCAGCGATCAGACACAGAATCCCAAATGGGGAGTACCTTCACACACAAGAACACATTTAATAACATTATTGTCGTACGCTTTAATTAGAATGATCAAGCCAAGGAGGATGAGAGGGACAGGGAATGTAACACGCATGAGGAGAAGAGGAATGCGTATAAGATTTTGGTGGGAAAGCCAGAAGGAAAGAGATCACTAGGAATCTAGACGTAGATGGGAGGATAATATTGAGATATGTCTTGTGAAGATAGGCTGGGGTAATGCGAACTGAATTGAACTGGCTTAGGATAAGGACCAGTGGCGGGCTCCTGTAAACATTGTAATAGGCCATCGGATTCCATAAAGTGTTGTAAAATTCTTGAGTAACTGCGCAACTGGCCGCTTCTAAAAGAAGGGCTCAGCTCCATTGAGTTAGTTAGTTAGTTAGTTATTGTAGAGGGTGGGTTTCCCCATGCACTTAGACCTGTATTGGTCCATTGTGCTTCCCTCTATGATTTCTACCAGTCTCTATATCCTACCGGTACTGGTGCTTACCATCAGTCCCGTCCAGCCAGCGAGACCGGCTTTACTAGCTGAGGTATCTATAATGCTTCCCCCATCTACCAGAGGTATTAGAGACTGCTGTTGGGCGGGAAACGTCCGTTAATTTGGCTCAGTGACCTCCTTTGGAGATATGAGGTCCTTTTACGTGCCGTAAAGCTACGATACGAGACCCACGGCTTAAAGTCCCTCCCGGAGGACTTGTTCCCTGAATATTTCCGCCCTTAAAAATTCGACGACCTCCGCCGGGTATTTGAACCCGCGTACTACGAGTCATGAGGTGGGAACGTTACCTCTAGACTACGGAGGCCGCTAGCTCCATTGAGTTAGTAATGGTTGTATGCTTATTTCCACACCACCCTCTGGAGATGTATCGGGGAGTGGAGGTATAGTTTAATGATTTCTTAATCTTGGCAGTAGATAGAGGCGAGTGATCAATTCTATGCTTCTACCACTTCGCCAGGCGAAACAGTGCGCGATTTTCTTTGAATAAGTTGCTGTGTGAATTTCAGAACCTATATAGACGTAATGGCTAAGAGGAAGAGTATCACCTCTGCTGGGAATCGAACCGTGATATTCCTGCATGTAGTATGTCACCATAATAATTGAACTATCCTACTCATCTCGATAAAAGTTAAACGTGAACAAGAACAGAACACATTCCAAGAGACCTCAAGATTTCGTATCCGTTTATTGACTCTCCCATGCTGCAAGTCGTTCTAATTCCATCAACTTCTGTCTGATGGCTTTAGTAGTATTCGATGGAGAGCGAAATATTGAAAAAATAAGTAATTATCGACGCAGGCCTTTGCATATATAGGTAAATTCGAACATAATTGACATTTTAGCTTTGCTCATTACGTATGTCACAGGCCTAGTCTTAATTTTGTTATAATTCCATCAATTCAAGATCAATATGAATATCCGGTGTTCCGATTAACAAACAACACTTACCACATGACTACGCCCACTAATTTCATCACGATATCATTAAGCACAACGAAAAAATCCACCATGAGCTTGGCTTTGGCCCCCATCTGCCCTGCCAGGAGTCCAAATGCCAAACAAAACACGATCATTCCTGAAATAAGAGTGGAACATCTGTTTTAGATTAGCTTTAGCATGGTTATTGTACAATCTAGGAATGATTCAGCTTCATTGTTAATACTGGTGTGACTTTCCTTTAAATAAACTTTGATTTCCTTATAGATTTCAATTGTATTTCAAGGAGAGGCTATTTCATAATATGGTGGCATATTTCATTGAAAATATGAAAGAAGTATTGAATTGTGGAAGCCACAGAGCACAGGATGGGTCTGAAACATGGATGATCAATTAACGTTATAAAAATTGCAGAGAAGGACCATTTAATTTTCTGTCAGTTGAAACAATCAGAAATCAGACTTCTCATGTTTCGGTTCATTCACATGGAGAAGTTTCGAGGACTGCCACGATCGATGCTCCTGACAGTTTTGTATCTGTCGTTCGTAAATTCTTTTAATCTCCCTGTGAGATCGTTAGTGCACTGTTGAACAAGCTCGAACTCCCTCACTGAATATAGACGCGAAGAGTCTCACTTTCATGAGCCACGAAATCCCGCGACTAGTGCCTGAACTTAGAGAAAAGAACGGAATATTTTGGAAACAGTTAGTTTCTGACATAAAAAACTTAAAATTTATGGGATTTATCTATCCTCCGATCACCTACAAGAAATAAATTATTTATTCTTCCATTAGCCTAGCATTGAGATGAAGTTACATTAACAGGACCTTCACAAAACGCTGTTCCCTCTCTCACATAGAGTGGAGATTCCACAGAAAGTGTCAAAATTTGATCTTATGATCGTATGCAGCATGAGTTTAATGTAAACGTAGATATTGGTATATACTGACGGAACATAGTACGCCTGATGATGGCCCAATATAAGGGTCGAAACATTTCGCTTCCATAAAAGCTTTAATAAAAACAAATGTTGATATAGTAGTGTCTTCTTTGTTTTAAAATACAGAGTATTGTTGCGTAGATGGTGTATTCTTGTATGCTTTGTATCTTATTTCTAACCAAATAGGCTAGCTCAGCAGTATTGTACCTGACGTGTACAGAAAATATCCTGTTCAAATACGGACGGAGGAATCGGTTGCCCTTACTGGAGATATTAATATATATATATATTTTTTTTTTGCTCTGTACGGGAAAGTGTGAGGTTGACATAACCCACGTTCTTTCAGATTCTTCTGTAATAAATTTTCGAATTTATCATCAGTCATCATTTGACGCTATATTTATCTGAAAACATCGCTCATTAATATATTACGGATTAATTAATAAATAAAAACTTATTATATCGGTCAATAACTTCATAAATTCGAGCATGATAACGAGCTCCGTTTAATGCGATACTTATATCAAATTGATGAAACCATTTTTTACGTGGATTACTGTATCCACAAATGCTGAATTACCCGTAAAGTTTGAAATTGATGTTATGTATCATTAATATAATCGATTTGGGCTTAATCTTTGTGGAAACACGGTAAAGCTATAATCCTATCCGAGACGTCTGGATTAATTGAAATATGCCTTCTTGTTACAAAATTGAGTGACAAATGGTTGGTTGAAACCGAGTAAGTTAGCGATATTTACTAGACAGATAGGATAATTTTTCTTATGTCACTTACAACAATTGAAGATTTAAGAAATTTCTCACCCATGACATTGGTCCCATCTTTGTACACTAGTTGAGGCTTGAGAATGAACACGGACGAATCATCGGAAGAGTTGGGCTCGTGGAAAACAAGCGGCTTGTGTACCTGAGCAAAGAGGAAATCTTCACATGAGACTCCGATTATGATGGGCCATGCTCCTTGTCTGCGGTGTATTTGACAATATATACAGGATGAAAGGTATTCAAAATAAAATAATTATATCTCAGAAAGCTTTTATTATACACATTTATGGGTTACACCACTACAAAGGGAAATTATCAAGGTTTTGTCTGGGTATATAACTTTCTCAATTAATTTCAATATGGACTCACTTTGTGGCGCGACAAATATCCAGACAGTATTCGACCTCGTTCCACTTTGCTTGAAGCATGTTTGGTGTTACCGTAGCCACGGCGTCCCTTATGCGGGCTTTCAGGTGTTGCAGGTCGTTGGTCTTAACCTGGTAGACAATGTTCTGCACATAACCCCACAAGAAATAATTCAGTGGGGTTAAATCTGGCGACCTAGGAGGCCAAGCAGTTGATCCACTTCTGCCGATCTGTCTCTCAGCCATCACTCTGCCCAAGTGATTCCAAACATGGTGGCAGAAATGGGGCGGCGCATGCGCGTAAACCGGGCATGGAACAAAAACTTGTAGGGTTTTCCTTTCCGATGACATATACCGGATACGTGTACGACAATTGCTTTCCGAGATATAAATGTTTAATTTTGGAGACCTTTCATCGGGTCATCCGATATGTGAAGCACATTTTGTAAGTTAGCTTATCTTTAGTCTTCATGCAACTGGATATAATTATATTCGTAGATTATTTCGATGTTACATGTATTATCGAGGTTAGTTATAATGGCCTGAATTGAACCTACAAACCTTTGAGTACAAACCTTGTATGCTGATTGAAATACCACTGGGACTAGCGATTTGGAGTTAGATTTTGGCAGCTAAAATTAATCTACAAAATAAAAAGGTTCCTAGAGAGTAAATCATTTAAAACCAACGTGAACTAATGATGTACGAGTCAAATGCGATATCATGTAGATACAACATTCATTTGGATAAACGTTCGTTCATTTCTCTTGTACAGATATAGCCATAGCTCAAGCGGTCAGTCGCTGGCTTCCCACCGCTGCGGCCCGGGTTCGATCCCGGCTCTGGTCAAGTGGGATTTGTGGTGGACAAGGTAGTGCTGAGGCGGGTTTTCTCCGAGTACTTCGATTCCCCCTACCACTCTTCATTCCACCAAATTCTCCATCATCATAATCACTTGGGGCAGGCTGCAATAGGCCAATCAGTTGCCGCCATGCCGCGTGGGCTCAGTTGGACTCCACCCCCCACTAAGCGAATTAAAAAAAAAAAGAACTTCATGGAGCTGAGCCATACTTGTGACGCCGCCAATTGTGCAGCTACTCGAGAAATTCCCAACATTTGAGGGAACCCAAAGGTTCATTACCATATTCAAAAGAGCCCCTCATTGGTCACTATCCTGGGCCAAATCAGTCCACTCCATACTATCCCATCCTCTCTCTCTCTCTAAGTTCCATCTTAATATTATCCACCCACCTACGTCTTGGTCTTCCTAGTGGTCTCTTTCCTTCTGGATTTCCCAATAATATCCTATACGCAATCCTTGTCTCCCCCATTCGTGCTACATGCCCTTCCCACCTCATGCTCCTTGACTTGATCACTCTAATTACACATGGAGAAGAGTACAAGTTATGAAGCTCCTTATTATGCAATTTTCTCCAACCCCCTGTCAGTTCATCTCTCTTTGGCCTAAGTAAGCTCCTCAGCACCCTGTTCTCAGACAACTTCAGTCTATGTTCCTCACCAAACCATCACACCAGCGACCTCTTAGTATTGTGTACGACAACTTGTCACTAACGAACTCTACCCTCCTTACTGCGGATACGATTGTCTTATGTACAAAATAAACCTATACCTAATTCGTGATTCTCATTCCCATTTCCATGGAAAAATGAATATAAAAATACTGACTTTCAGATTACTTTTAGTTCCTCTGGTAAAGCGACGTGTTACTTGTTTATGAAAATTCAAATATCATTTAACTATGAATGATATTAATTAGCAATCATTTTGAAATGAGGAAGGTGAGGAAAATTATTTTTACTTGAGAGCTGAAGAAAATTTAGTAACGCCTATTTCTAAAATTGTTAAAAGTTTTATCAATAATTCATTCTTATTGAACATTATTAAATGTATCAAAGGACATAAAAGTGACTTTATTAATAATTAATTCAAACACAAAACCTTCCTGGGGTTTCCTGAACTCGTCGTTCTCGTGGGAATAGTACATTACAATAAATACTTGCTGTACGACACCTAAACTTGATTTTACTTGATAGTCTCCTGTATACTGAGAGTACATGCTGTTCTCTAAACTGTGTACGAAAACTTAACATCAGTGAAAGGTCGTGAAACTGAAGCAACATGGCGGACAGGACATAATTCTTTCATGGACCGTATGTCCTTAAACTCTGATATAAATCTTACGATTTGAGTGTATAGTCTGATGCCTTGCTCAAGGCGACTGCCAGTCCATGGCCGCTGCATCATATGTTTACAGAAAAATTTAATTGCCCTAATATCATGAGGTATTATTTTTTTTATTGCTAGTGAGGTGGGACTATGTCCCTTATACTGCGGCCAATTCTGGCCTACTGTATCAGCCACAGATGATAGGTGAGGGTGATTGTCGAGCAATTGGTGGAATGAAGAATGGCAAGGGAAACCGAAGTACTCGGAGAAAACCTGCCCCAACGCCACTTTGTCCACCACAAATCCCACTTGACCAGACCCGGGATCGAACCCGGGCAGCCGCAGTGGGAAGCCAGCGACTAACCGCTTGAGCTACGGCGCGGCCATATCATGAGGTAACAGCTGATTGATGTTAGGATGTACAGTATATAAAAAGTACATACTCATCACCTTTTTGTAAGTAGTCTGCACCTGCTGGAAACATGCCTGCATCAGGTTGTCCGGGAACAGATTCCTGTGTCACAGAAATATATTTATTAGCTAAGAGTATTTTTAATGGAGGCCGGGATTGCGCAGTCGGTATAGCGACTGGCTTACAGGCTGGATGACCGAGGAGTCGGAGTTTGAGTCCCGATAGCGTCAAGAATTTTCTCCACGTCGTCCAGACCTGCTCTGGGGTCAATCCAGCCTCCCATCCAATGGATACCGGGGGTAAAGCAACGGTAGCGTGGAGCTAATCACCCACCTCCAACTAGTGCCGAAGTCAAGAAAATGTGGATCTATACAACCACTCCCCCATATATCTTCATGGCATTTTTTCGCATGGTGGGGTGTGGAGTCCAGCTGAGTCCACTCGGCACGGCGGCCACTCATTGGCCTATTGTAGCCTGCCCCGGGTGATTATGATGATGGAGAATTTAGTGGAATGAAGCTTGGCAGGGGAAACCGAAATACTCTGAGAAAACCTGCCCCAGCGCCACTTTGTCCACCACAAATCCCACTTGACTAGACCCGGGCTTGAACCCTGGCCGGTGCCATGGGAAGCTAGCGAATAACCACTTGAGCTATGGCGCGACCTTGCGAATTAACATAAAGTTGTCTCTGTGTTTAACTAATTAAACAACTTTACGTTAATAGTAGTCTTATATTATTAACTATGTGCTATGTAATCACCATAAATATGGGTTTATTTATTTATGATTTATTTAACGACACTTTCAATGGATCAAATAATATAGCGTCAAATATTAGGAAGAAATAATCTCTATGTGCAAGGAAGCGGTCGTGACCTAATTTGAAATAACCTCAATGGGGATAGCTGGTGTCCGGGTCTGTCCACTTGCCCGTGACTTCCGGCAAGTCTGAACTGCAATCTTGCCGTAATATCTAGGCAGAAAGAAGTAGGAATGACATATACCTTACTATATCCAATATAGCGTCCAGTGTAGATACTTTTGTGTCCGTGGATCCCCCTTCTACATGCGTCTTAATGCTCGGGTCTCCTGGATGGATAACAAGCACCATGAAGATGCCCACAATGGCCGCCAAGATAGTGGTGGTAATGTAATACAACAGTGCTCTCGAACCCATTCGCCCTGAGGACCGGGCGTCCAACTGCGCCATTCCTATCATGTCACGAAAAGAAAACAAGGAAGTGAGACTTTTAACAATGATCATGGAGAAGCACACAGCCGAAGTGTCACGGAAATATGGAAGATTGAAGTACTTGTTCTTGCTATAAAATCTCAATCATTGTTAATGGGATGTGACATTTTAGGTTTCTGCGACGGTGGAAATGCATATTCTGTTCTTCTGGGTTATGACGCCGCATAGTCTTGTAGGTAATATTATATTTAAGCATCCTGTTACATTAATATATCTTTTGTACGCATAAATTTCCTTCTTAAATGCAACTTTATATCTAGTCACCCTTCTTCCTCATGACATGTTTCGGCCGTATACGCCATCAAGAGATGTCTGTTTTGCTAGAATTGTTGCGCTGTATGTGAAAGCCCATGGAAGAGTTGTCACTCGCTAGAGTTATGCGGAGTTCACCTGAGACAAGAGACGAGATGATGAGAGGAAGGATGAACATCTTCAGCAGTCGCATGAGGATCTCTCCAGGGAAAGAGACGAGCATGATGGATTCGTCGGAAAACCTGGCGAGGCGACCCAGGAACCCAACTAGTACCCCTACCAGCACGCCACCAATCGTGAGTGCGAGAAGGAGATTGGTCTTCACCCATTGTAGCACCTGCAAGTGAGAAAGACACGACAGTTATCTCGGATAGTGCTTGGGAGCGTCATAGTGGTCTACAGCAGTGGTTCTCAAGCTTTGTGAGACCGCCGCCAGGGAAATTTGTTTTTATTAGACGAGGGCCTGGTACCAGGCCGCGGCCCTCCGGTCGAGAAACACTGGTCTAGAGTTAAAAAGTAAACAGGCCTGTAACAGGCCGTGGAGGCCCATAGGGTTGTGAGATGTTGAGGTTCCCACATTTTCTAGACAGTCGGCTCATAGATGGCGTTAAGGTTGTCAGCCCTACGCACCTGCCACCCTTCAATCCCAAGAATATTCGAAGAATATTCCTTATTCATTTCTGTTAGAGGCTGAGTCGTCTAGAGTTAGCACAGAAAAATTCTATTGCAAATGTTTCCGATTTAAATGCGATATATACCATTAATATCTAAAAATGTGTAATGAAATAGAGTGACATCATAGAAGTAGAACTATCTGCCGAAACGTCATGTATGAGAGTGACAAAGATAATGGATAAAATTAAGTAATTTTTCGGCATAATTGAGCAAACAGTATCGCAGTAATTTAGAAAATGAGCAGGAGTTGAGTGTGAAATCAAAGTGGGTTTTGTGAAATTGCTTGTATAATTATATTTATATTGGTATCATTATTCGTTATGAATCATGAATTTGGAGAGTGTATCTTACAAATATGGGATGGAGGATTCGAATTCTGGGTAGGAAACTTGGAGCTTCTGGAGTATTTATTCCGTACAAACAGGGGCCGACCTTGCTGTGGTTCAGCTCCACATCTAAAGAAGCCAATCAGATATGCAGCAAATCAAATGGAACAGATTTTTGCACCCTTAACTAAAAACAAAATACAAAGACGACAACAAAGAAGCACAACGAAGGACTTAGTAACGGATTTGTCTGGGCCCATTTGTCATTCACAAGTACCCCCACAATTAACGGACGATACTTAATTTAGGAATTTGAAAAATAAACCTAGAATTAACCAACAATTACCCTTTCAGTGGTTTCGACCCTACATAAACTTTTAACTCTGTACAGTGTTTTTAATCAGTTTAGGAACTCAGTAAGAGTAAAAGTAAAAGTAAAGCTATCCCTGTAACAGGCCGTGGAGACCCACAGGGTTGTGAGATGTTGAGGTTCCCACATTTTCTAGACAATCGGCTCAAAGATGGCGGCAAGGTTGTCAGTCCTACTGGCCGGCCGCCCTTTGCCCTCAAGAATATTCCTGGTACTCATTTCTGTTAGAGGCTGAGTCGACCCCAGGGCCATAGTGCGGCTGGAAGGATTAGGTCAAAACAGTTTAGGAACCACTCAGATAAATATAATTTCTCATATTTACAGAAGACAATCATAGGCGTCTAAACGAACGAACGAGATATGATGCTTTAAGCTGCTATATCGAACTACAGGTATACTTACAAGGTCGACTTTTGACCTCGCAGATGTATCCATATTAGTCACTTGGCTCTGGAAGACTTCCTGTTTGTCATCATCTTCGCCAGCGCACACATCTGCCCTGTAAGAGAAGCGCACACGCAGTGCTGTTGGGCATGTGAGTATAACCTCTGTACAATGCAGACACATTTACCACAACTACAAAAACATTCCATGGATAGTACTCTTATCTCTGCCAATATTTATAAGACATTTGTTTTCTAACTTCCACACTATATCAAGAGGGAAACAGAAGACACAAAATTAACTTCAGGTAATTTTAAACGATGAGAAGACAGCGGAAGTAACAGGAGAGTACAGAAAATTTCATAACGGAGAGATTCACAGTTTATAACTACTCCTTGCTGAATATTGTTAAAGTGATCAAATTAAGGACAACTGAGCACAGGAGAGAAATGAGAAGTGAATATAAAACTTTATCCGGAAGCCTGAAAGGGAGACACTTGGGAGACATAGGCACAGATGGGAAGATAATATGAAAGTGGAGTTTGAGGTGTGGAATGGAGTCATCTTGTTCTGGCGCGGTTCTAGATGTGGGCTGCTGTGTAGGGCAGTGAATATTCGTGTTCTATAAGCAGCATCTGTAGCTTCTCAAGAATAACTCTTTTTAATGGACTTATTTATTTGCTAAATTAAGTTTATCTTGGCCTGTGTTGTGCAGTGGAGGCATTCAAATTACAAGAAGCATTTGTCACAAATACGAAAGTTAAATCTAGTGGAATGAGTGCGAAGAAGCTGAACTTACTCATATGAAAAAGTAAAGTAAAGTTATCTCTGTAACAGGCCTTGGAGGCCCATAGGGTTGTGAGACGTTGAGGTTCCCACATTTTCTAGAGAGTCGGCTCATAGATGGCGGTAAGGTTGTCAGCCCTACGCGCCGGCCGCCCATTACCACCAAGAATATTCCTGGTACTCATTTGTGTTAAAGGCTGGGTCGACCCCAGGGCCATATTGCGGCTGGAAGGATTAGGTAAATTGAAAAAATCCACCTCATCGGGATTCGATCCCGCCACCTTCCGGCTTGTAGCATAGTGCAAGACTCAATCATATGGGATTTAACATAGCTGTGGCAGTGTTCAGTAACGCGACAGAAATATTTTGTTTAAACATTACCTTCTTTGTTGCTCAAATATACATACAAAGTTTCGGAGACCAACCTTGCTTCCTTCATAATGCTATCGGAAAAGATAATAATTTTAGGGGCTTTTTAGGAGAAGGTAGATACCGTGCAGATAGATAACGATGAAAAGATATATGTAAAAATGTCTATAAAGACAAATGAGAATAAAAAACGGAAGATAATCAAGAAGAGTATATTCCGTATTACGAGTTACAAGGAGTACAATAAACGGCGCAAATGTGTGGGAACAGCAGTAAGAAATCAAAATTACGTCCAAGAAGAAATTGAGAGAAACCCAAATTTGAGAAATGCTCACAAGCATTCATTTTGTAATATACTATCCTTAGATCTTCTATAGAAACTTAGAGATAAACTGGTAGAAATATAATTTTATCTACTGATTTATACGGGTGTAAAATTTGAACTCTTACAATAAGAGATCAACTTACAGGATGTTCGAGAAGGTGCATTAAGAAGAATATATGTGTGTAAGAGAAATAAAAGAAAGAGTGGGCGGGTAAAATTTATACGATTAAATATTTTGTAATTTATGCAGATCAAGATGGAGGAGACTGGAGTGCCATGTATAGTATACGGGAGATATGCTACTTGCACACAAAATTTTGGAAAGAACATTTCAAGAGAAGCATACGTTGGAGTGTAAAATTTAAATTAATTATAAAGGAATTAGATATGTGGGGTGGATAGAATAAAATTGGCTTAGGACAGGGTCCAAGGGAGGATCTTGTAAACAAGAAAATGAACGTAAGAATTGAGGTTTTCACTGCCGTGAATATGAAGACTACTTTCTTCAAGAAAATGAACATTCGGATTTCAGACAGAACGAAAAGAGCCTTAGTGTCCTAGCGACTGTTTAATTGACAGTCGGGTTCATTGAATTAAATGTTACTTACTATTTTCATTTTTGGTATACAAATCTCTGTATAAATATTTCTTCTTTCAACCACTAATAAAACTGGGGATAATGATGTGTACCGGCGGTTGTATCAGATTTTTCACGTCTTCCGGTGCATTGTAGAGGCTAAAATCTAGCATGACAATGCATATATATTTGTCATTTGAAGAGGTTTTATTTCAACCTCATATAAAGGATTGATTGCGGTAGAGCAACAGGAATTAAAACAAAATCAGTCCAGAACTAAATTTCTTCGAAATTAACTCAGTCATTTCGGAGATGAAGCATGCGGAAAAGCTGAGAGAAACTTTTTATTGTTAAGTTCATTTTTTTCAGTGTTTAAAAAGAGCCTGTACACATACGCAGTATAATATTTAGAATTTGAATGGTTGTGGAAAAAAGCGATTGTGACCTTTATTGGCACTGATATTGAAATTGATATATTTTGGTGGCTGAGGGATATCCAGTCATTTGAGTGAGATTACTATTATAAAATGACTGGATGAAACTCGAAAAATATTAATTACTGGAATCATATTTTCTATAAATATTTAAGGGTATTCTATTGCAATCAACTTGACACGTTTAAATTGAGGCATACCAATTTTATATATCGATGTTTTCAGTATTAAAAGAAATAAATATTACTTAAGTCTTTGTCTGGGTATGTAGGATGTGACAGGGCCAACGTTTGAACAAGGCTATAAATTGTAAATTATTTAAATAGAACTGTAGCTGTACAAAACGTTGCACTCGGCATATGATATACGTGAATGTTTGATTAAGGGATTAGAGATCACTTTTATGCCTAGATTATCTGCCTGATGGCAGTTGAGCCATCCACAACAATTAAGAGGCACTGGTAAAAATCTGAAGCGCGGTGCTGACTGTACATAGCACGTGCTTTGAAATTAGAACTTCGTCAGTTATCGAAAAGTGCATGTGTGAGTTTGTATGGACTGAGGGTGTTTGAGAACAAGGTGCTGAGGAGAATATTTGGACCGAAGAAGGATGAAGTGACAGGAGGTTGGAGAAAACTGAGGAGCTTCATAACTTGTACTCTTCTCCAAGTATGATTAGAATGATCAAGTCAAGGAGAATGAGGTGGTCAGGTCATGTAGCACGAATGGGGGAGACGAGGAATGCGTATAGGATATTGCTGGGAAAGCCAGAAGGAAAGAGACCATAGGAAAGACCAAGGCGTAGGTGGGTGGGCAATATTAGAATGGATCTTAGAGAGATAGGATGGGATAGTATGGATTGGATAGATCTGGCTCAGGATAGGGACCAGTGGAAAGCTTTTGTGAACACGGTAATGAATCTTCGGGTTCCGTAAAATTCTGGGAAATTCTTGAGTAGCTGCAGAATTGCCGGCTCCTCCAGAAGGGCTCAGTTCCATGAGTAAGTAAGTAAGTGAGTTTGTATGATTCTCAGACTAAAGAACGATTATTTTCTCTTGAGCAACACTAACAGGTTGGCCTTTAGATTCTAAATGGTTCTGACGATGGTGGATGACACAAAGAATTAACGGGATTTTGGACTTTTTCCATTGTCCGGATTCTAGGTAATAGAGGACACTATTACCTAGAGTGTCCTCTGTTAACTAGAATCCGGAAGATGGAAGAAGTCCAAAAATCCAGTAATTCTGAGATTGGTCTTTCTAATGGAGATGTTATATATTTTCTGTGAGGTAGGAATTGCCATTGAAATATTATTTAGATGAAATTCAGGCTTGATAGTGTTAATCGTTGTCTCAGAACCTCTGAATTACATGCAACGCAGTTATTTACCCTGCTACTTTCAGAGGTAGAGATCAAATTCTTTTCCTTATAAGTAATTGATTAACTGAACACTAACAAACCAGTTAACTAACTAACTGACCGGCAGACTAACTAACGCCCAGAAGTAGTTTTTTTTTAATCAGTAGTTCTTAATAGTACCCCGATATTTGGAGTAACTCAGTGAGACTGTTACAGTTCCTGTGATATAAATCTGTTGCCAGGATAAGACCAGTGAAGACAGTTACCTGGAAAGGCTTATCGGGTGCTGTTGTGATTTGTAAAGTGGGTGGATTAGCGATAGAGATGTAACGTCCATTATGTATCGTCCGTCACTATTGCAACACTTTTTTATTCACTACTTAATTTAATTTACACTTTGACACTACATGTTTTGGCCCCAACGGCCATCTTCAGGTGTCTTGGTATGTTACAAATATTTTATTGCTTTATGTTAAAACTACTACACTGTCTTAGTCCGTGTTAAAATCACACGTTGTAGTCCTCTTTTCAAGGTAAGACAAGATAAAATCCTTTTAATTTTCTATTATACCCACGTTATTTTGGTGCATATTGTTTCACTTCATTTTTCATAAATGTATGTCTGTCCAGGGTGTTTTGTTTCTGCAGCTCCTAACGTTCGTAGCCTACTTTTCAGTTATGACTGCCATATGCTCCTGGTTTGCGTGTTTCCTCCATAGCGTGTGATGTTGTCTTTACTAGTGATGTACACGTAATTGCCTATGGTTCCGAGTGTTGTGTGTAAGGTGTCAATAAATACAATCCGTCAAACCAAAACACTTCTATAAGTCACGCAGGCCTCCAAATACATCAAATCCCTTTTATGTCTATGTGCTTCCAGTTTAATTTTTCACATGAGCTTTTCTAACAGAAATTTAATATGCACCTCCCTTAAAAACAACTCTTCTTACAAAAAGTTGTCACATGACATATAGATCTGGTTAAAATACACAACTTCCGTTTGAAACGATTTTGTGCACGTTTAATGTATAAAGGAATGTGAAAGAAACTAACTTGAATGTTTTTACTTTCCGATGCTTGAAATTTTCACTAATATTTAACCATTACGTGTGCGTATTCAAGAAATAAACATGGAGGCAAATTAGGTGTTCGAAGACACAAAGAACATTTTTAGCAAACACACACTTTCCGCTCTAAACTAGAATACATAGCTTTGCTCTTTTTACGGTTAAGAATTGTGCCATCTCCTTGTATGTTAAGGGAGTGAAGTTATTGAATATGGTACTAGGATAAGCAAAGTATTAAGTATTATTATGCTTTTAACACAAATTACATAGTAATTATACAAGTTTTCCCTTTGCTAAACTAATAAACACTAGTCCATGAAGGCGTATATGGGGAGTGGATATATAGAGCCACATTTTGTTAACTTCGGCATTAGTTGGAGGAGACTGGCCAGTTTCAGGTCCCAGCCGCTTTACCCCAAGGAAAGAGCCCCAGGTACCTATTAAGTAGGAGGCTGGGTGGGCCCTAGAGCCGGTCTGGTCGACGTGGAGAAGAGAAAATTCTTCATCCTGCCAGGACTCGAAATCAGACCCCTCAGTTTTCCAGCACGTAGCCAGTCGCTATACCGATTACCCTATCCCGGCTCTCACACAATACTTTTTTTTTTGCCCTGTGGCGCTACAGCCCCAATTTGGGCCTAGGCCTACCTCCATGAAACTCTCCGTTTCACTTCGGTTTACTAGATCTCACACAAATGGTAGGACTCCTTGGGCGAGTGATCAGCTCGTCGCAAGCCCTCTGCCTGTACACAAACACAGAGAAACGCACACAAACATCCATGCCCTGAGTGGGATTCGAACCCACGATCACGGCTTCCGAGAGAGCGAAGACAGTGCTTACCTTAGACCGCTCAGCTACCGTGACCGGCCACACAGTACTTATACTTTATTTTATTGCATTTTTTACAAAAGCACCCTGTTATTTAATGCATTTGGCCCAGCAGTTCACGTATTTCCTGATTGNATCGCCTCCATCTTCAGGGTATAAGAAAAAATATAAGAAATCTGCAAGCGAAGAGACCGTGAGAAACTGCTTTTACAGTTTCTCACGGTCTCTTCGCTTGCAGATTTCTTATATTTTTTCTTATACCCTGAAGATGGAGGCGATACGTTCCTCCGAAACGTCGGTTAACACCACATATACAAGGTGCCAAATCCCAGAAGACTGCTTTCTTCATAGTCACCGCCGTGAAAGCCTCAAATCTTACATAGAGACACTTTAGTTTACGACAGAAGCAATATTGGCAATACTGAAAAACCGGCGGTATAGAAACAATATTAACGATTCTGCACTTGCACTCAGTTACTTTTCCTTTATTTTACCTAGTGACAATCAGAATAAAATACTTCTCTTTGGATTTGTAGGCATTTTTATTTTCTGTTATTTTTCCTGTCTTCATAATAATTTAGGAAGAAATTTTGTCAGATCTGGTCCTTTAGGCCTAGTGCACGCATGCAATTTTTAGTTGGCCGATATTTGGCCGATATTTGGCCGATAGTTGGCCGATAGTTGTGCACAATCGTGGAGGGCCAACGACTGTCGAGGGACGTGCGCACACATACAGTTTTAGTTGTCCACACCTACGCCAATGAGCAGTCGGTCAGTCGAAGCGTGGATGTGTACGGTACAGCAGTAGTATGTGCATTATTAAGATTAAGGAAAAAGGGTAGCGGGAATATTGGGTTCACCCTATTTATAGCGAACGTCTGTTAAGAGGAAAATTTTATACATTGTACCATGAACTGAGACAATACCCATCAAAATTTTTCGGTTATTGCAGAATGAGTGTTGATAGTTTTGATGAATTGTTGCTTCTTCTGAAACCTCATATCTTGTACAAGAATACAAGATGGAGATTGGAGTTTAATATTTCTAGAATTATTATCGGAAACACAGAAGAAGTAAAAAGGTAAAGTAAAGGTATCCCTGTAACAGGCCGTGGAGGCCCATAGGGTTGTGAGATGCTGAGCTTTCCACATTTTCTAGACAGTCGGCTCATAGATGGCGGTAAGATTGTCAGCCCTACGCGCCGGCCGCCCTTTACCGCCAAGAACATTCCAAGAATATTCCTGGTACTCATTTCTGTTAGAGGGTGAGTCGACCACAGGGCCATAGTGCGGCTGGAATGATTGGGTAAATTGAAAAAAATATTCAATGACCTCATCGAGACTTGAACTCGTGACCTTCCGGCTTGTAGCATAGTGCCTCAACCAACTACTCTACCATGTTGAAAACACCGGTTCTCGGCCGATCAGCTACGTTAAGCAACATTGGGTGTGGTTAGTACTTGTATGGTTGACTGCTTGGGAACAGCACGTGCTGTTGGCACCAACCCCAGCGGCTCCTGTTCGAGCCCTTGTCTGGTCAAGTGGGATTGGTGGTGGACAAAGTGGCGCTGGGGCAGGTTTTCTCCGAGTACTTAGGTTTCCCCTGCCAATCTTCATTTCACCAAATTCTCCATTATCATAATCACACGGGGCAGGTACAATAGGCCAATCAGTGGGCGCCGTGCCGAGTGGACCCAGCTGGACTCCACCCCCCACTATGAGAATTAAAAAAAAAACTAATTGGGAATGAAGACAGTTTTGAATTGTTTATAACGCACTTTGATGTACTCTGAATTTTCTTGTACTTTTCTACCTTCTCGTTTAGTATTAATGACGGATTTGGGTAATACAACTACTTCTTCCGTTGTGTCTCAGAAGCTGACATATGATGCCATGACCTTATTTTTTAAAATGGTGTGTTATTCACGGCTAATTTAGCCATTACTCCCGAGCTTTCTGTACACGATTGTAAATTGAAGCTGTCAATCAGAATGTTCAGCCTGTTAGAGAGGGTCTCTAAATATGCAGCAGGGTTTACTACGGGACTTCCGCGAGGGGATATCATAATCACAGGAACGGATATGGGCACTGCGGGAAGCTGCATCAGATACCAGCCGTGACGCAACCTCCCAAATAGACCTGTCCTTGTAATAGGGCCGAAGCATATAATTGGAAGTTTATGTCTGTCCATCAGCGTCTTTTATTTCCAAAATTATTGAGTAGCTCTCGACTCAATTTTGTGTTTAATGGTTTACGCTATAGTTTTTTTGGAGTGAAAATTCCTATGGCCGTTATTGATCTAGTTAATATGAACTCTTCTTTTCAAGAAGCTCGAACAAAACTTGGTCTTTTTCTCCTGCTGCTACTATGTAGAAAGTGTGTGTGTGTATTGCGTTAGATATGTCTTGCTAAGAACTAACATTTTTATTATAGCCCATTCATGAAGATTGACTTTGTCTAACGGATTCTACAGAGTAGATTCTTCTTTCTTTGTTGTGTTTTCCCTAAGGACTGGAAAAGGGCCAGTCCCCGAAACTTAGTAACTTTTAGAATTTTATGTTTTTTACAACATAATCGTTGAAGTTCAAACACAGTGCCATTATAAATAATACGTACAACATTGTGATCGAATTTCAGAACGAAACATAAAATGCTTAAATATTTCTCTACAAGACGAATAATTAATGAAGTACAAGACAATGTAATTTATGACTCAATGAAGTGTTCTTATTTAGCTCGAAATGTCTCACCTTCCAATATAGGCCTACTTCCCAGAATTCCAGAAACACGTGTGTGTAATGAAGTCTCCAACTTTGAGGAAAGAACATTAATTATAAATGCTTGAAAACAAAGCTTCAAGAAAACATTTAGACCAAAGGACGATGAATTAAGTGAATATGTCAGGACGCTACAGAACTAGAAACTTCGCGCGCAATTCTTCGAGGCTCGAATTTCTTCTAAATAGTATTTAAAATTTCAGTTCATACCTCACAGAATTATAAAAATCATCTGGTTAATGTTATTTAGGAAAGCAAGCGATGTCCATTCCGACAATCAAATGAAACACATAAATGTTCTCTATAGGCAAATTCCATGTATCTCTGTATCTGTAGTGTTAAAGCGGGCTGCACATAGAGTAACCGCTTTGCTTCAAACGGTTAATCCAGACTTCCTATTGTTAACACGGTGAAATGAGGCAACTGTAATGTGCCTAGGGTGGAGGAAGCAAGGAATGCATACAGATCTTTTTTTGGTGAAATCTCTTGGAAAACGGCAGCTTAGAAGACAGAAATAATATGACGGTAGATCTTACGAAGATAAATTGTAAGGATGGGATGTGGATGTTACTAGCTAAGGATCCTTTCCAAAGGCAGAATTTGGTATTAGCAGTGCTGAGTTTTGAGTTTCTATCAGGGGGTTAGTTTAGTTTACATGCAAATTAATTTTTCTTGTTATTCTACAAATCTCTGAGGAGAAATACGATTCAGATTAATCTATGTATTGCATTAGAACGCAGAGTGACATTCACCGGAGCAGTGCTGTCAGCTACTCACGCGTCTTGATTGGTGGTTTGCTGCTGTCCGCCATCTTTGCCGAGTTGTGTCGAATTCTTAAGGACGCTTATTGCTCGCCCGACGGCAGACAGCGATCCTTGTAGATGATGTCCAAGCGACGACATCCCCACCCGTCAGGTGGGACACTCAACACAGTACTCAGTAGCCACACAATATTAGCAGACGGAAATCACAGAGATTACATGCTTCGAGAGGGTCCACGGCTACTCCTCAGCCAGACGTATGTTCATCGGCGTTGTCCAGCGTCTGCAATTGTTCATCCTTACTGGCCGCGTTGCGGGTGG